GTCGGCCCACAAACACCGCCCGCGCGCCCAATGCCAGGGCTTTGAACACATCGGCACCGCTGCGGACACCGCCGTCCAGATAGACCTCACACTCGCGGCCCACCTCTGCCACGATCTCAGGCAACGCTTCTAACTATTAAAAACATAACAAAACGTAATTATGATTTTTAATTAACATTGTTGTCAATACATACAGTGGCGGGCGCGCCATCTAACTGTCGGGCGCCGTGATTGGACACCAGTATAGCGTCGGCCCCACTGTCCACACCCAGCCGCGCGTCCTCTGCGGTCAGTATACCCTTAATAACCAACGGTATGCGCACCTGACTCTTGAGCCATTTTACATCATCCCAGTCCGCATCCATTGCCACGTCTTTCGTTGTCTTATAGGGCCTGTAGTTAACCCTCTCATCCTTATCCGTGTAATTGCTTTTCATGTTATAATACCGGAGACCCATCACCGGCTGATCGACGGTCAACACAAGCGCTTTATAGCCGGCCTCCTGTGCCCGACGGGCCATATCGGCGCTCATCTGCCGGTCCTTATATATAAACATTTGAAACCATTTGTTTAGCTCCGGTTCGGCGGTTGATATCTCCTCCAGTGTCACACATGAACCACTGCTCACAATCATTGTTGTGCCAAATTGGGCCACACCTGGTCATTATAAAAATATTTTAAATTTGATTATAGTGTCAAATGTAAATTGATATATTTTTGGCTGTTACAATTTTAATTTTAATTTTATTCTAAAGTTATAGTTTATAGCTAATAAATATTTATTGAGTTGTCAAGTAACTTATAATTTGATTACAACGTAATTTCATAAGTACCTAGTGTACGCTACCGTTTAGTTGTAAACAATAGCAAATTTATTAATTTTTTGTTTCAAATTATATATAAATATTTTTCTTTTAGTTTTAATAAACAAGTTTTATCTAATGTTCATAAATAAAATTATTTATAGTTAAACAAAACTAATTATAATTTATTTAAAATACATAAAACATATACCGTTTGCCGTCTCAAACTCGCCGTTGGGATGAAACCGGCGGTTGAGTCCGAAAGGGGACACACATATGGGCCCACGTATTCTGTGGCCCAACACCTGTACAGTGAGGTCCCGATGGGACACATCAACCATATATCGGGGTCGTATACGGAGGCGACTAAACGCCTCCTGATTGGCCCTCAGTGTCACGTCATCCATAGCCCCCCGGTTTAGGTAATCCCTGAGCGGTTGATCCAACTTCTTGTTGGCCGCGGTCTCTATGTCTCGCAATAATACAGACATTATAGTTAACTGTTGTTTTTTGTTGAAATTGAATAAGGTGATTTGAAAATATTAATGTTGATCTCTTTTCCATGTAACTTATAATATAAAGATATTTTTGCCATCATCATCTAAACAAATAATATCTATTACAATCGTGTCAATGTCAACATTGTTCATTCATATTTACAGTATTTCCTAATAAATATGCTAAATTATTTTATGCTATAATTTTATTACTTATCTACAGTATATAGTTAATTTAGCATATGATCACGTTTAACAGTTGTATTAATATGAATCAGGATAATCCTTTCATAAATGTTTAATCTTATGTTAATATTAAAATTTATTTGATGATGTGTGTTTTACTGTATTGTGTTTATATGCAAATTAATATGCTCTGTATTATGTCAATAAAATACAACTGCTTTATATAAATGTAGGTGTTTTTGATTTAATCAAGGTTGTCTGTCATATAATATGACATACTAAATTAATTGAAAGTATATAAAATTTTACTGTGTCGTTTTAATATTTTATTTTATTTTTTGTTAATTAATCTAATGCTTTTACAATTTGCAATTGCGTTAATTAGATTTATGTAAACAATATAATCATTGAAAATCATATTTACTAGCCCAGATTCAGAGTCTGATGTTGATAAATTACAGTGTAATAAAACCATATATTGCACAACAATTGTTTGCATTATCAAAATATAAATACTTATAACTTAAAAAATTGAATAAACTTTTTAACCTTAACCATAATAATTTATATACATACCTAGTACTGAAGTATTATTCAGCAGTGATCTATGTGAACAAACTGCAGTTGATAACTATTATTGCCACCTTAAAATGCATTACAAATAGTTGCATGTTGTAAACTAATAGGAACTCTAACTAAAACTTGATCAAATTAATTGACAAGAGATCTTTATAATGGTCAATTTATTAAAATACAATTGAACATAGAAAAGTATTAACAAATATATTTTAATAATAAATTTTAAATGACAAAAGGACTTTTTGGGCTATCATACACTTAATCATGATTATTTAATTGGTTAACCATTTATAGCGCTGTTTTTGTATCATGGTACTTTATGTTTTTAGTCCTTTTATACACACTCTTTGAGCTCATATTTGATACACACTCTCATTGACAGCTGTTTTACACACTCTTATAATTTAAATTTAAATTTAATCTTAAATCTATGCAAACATTTATCAGTAAAAATCATTTATGTTCACAATTTCATAGCAATTGTTTTGTTACAGTTTTTTGTTAAATATTTTTATGTGTGTGAGAGAGAGAGAGAGAGAGAGACTTGATCGGAATAATTGTATATTATAGAGATTATATATAAATAAATTTATAATTTCCAAACCAAATTCGTTCCCAGCTGTTTTGTATAATTGAAAATAATCAATATTAATTATTATTATTATTAAGTCATATCTTATATTTTAATTATCAACAAATAATAATAAACCCTCTTCTAAATAGTTATAATATAAATAATTATTCGAGTTTTGGCTTTAAAACATTAACTAATCTAAAATCAAGTTTTAATAAACAATTACAAAATAATTTATTATAGCTACTTATATTAAACAAATTAAATTAAAATAATTAATAAAACAAAATTAGACGGAAAATAAAATTACCAATTTGCAATATAAAAGCGTAATTTATTTAATAAATAATATGATTAAAACAAATTATATTTCAATAAATTCCTAAACTTAAACTAGTGTTTCTATTATCAAGATGGTTGTTTAGTAAAATAATATCGTATTTTTAAAGAGCAGTAGTGTTGTTGACGGGAACAGTACCGTTGACGGGAGCGGTACCGTTAACACCATGGTGACAGCCTTTCGACAAATTGTCAAACTCTGCCCTCAAGTGCTCGCCGGCCTCCCGGAGCTGGGACTCCAGGGCCTGTCGGGTGGCGTTGAAACGACTTTTCAATCCATCAAAAATACCTTGATGCTGTTGCTGCTGTTGGGCACCCAAATTAAATGGCAAGATAATAGCTCGTGGTGCTCTGACGGGTTCGGTACCGTTAACGGGGGTTTGGGTGCCGTTCACTCCCTTATGGCAGCCATTAAACAGGGTTTCAAACTCGTGGCGGAAATGGTTGGCCGCCTCCTGGAAACGGGTCTCAACGGCGTGTCGGCTGGCGTTCAGGTGGGACAGGAGGCCGTCCAAAAAGCCCGACTCGGTTTGGTTTTGCTGGTTTTGGGCACCGAATCCGAAAGGCAGGGTCAGTGCTCGCGGGGCCCGGACGGCGGCAACAACAGTGCCGTTAACCGGGGTTTGGGTACCGTTGGTGTTGTGATGACAGCCTTTTACCAATGTCTCAAACTGCTGACGAAAGTGAGCGCTGGCCTCCCGGAGTCGGCTCTCGATGGCCTGTCGGGTGGCGTTTAGGTGCGACAGAAAGTCGGTCTGATTTAGCTGGTGTTGGGCACCGAAGCTAAAGGGCAAGTGCAGGGCTCGGGTGACTCTGGCCGGGGCCTCCCAGAGCCGAGACTCGACGGCCTGTCGGGTGCTGTTCAGACGGGTCAGGAGGGTGTCTACAAAGGTGGTTTGGTTTTGGTTTTGCTGGTGATGAGCGCCGAAACTAAAGGGCAGCGTAAGGGCTCGGGTAGCTCTGGCGGCCGGTGCCGTTCCGTTAGCGGGAGTTTCGGTTCCGTTCGCTGGCGTTTGAGTGCCGTTCTGGTGATGACAACCGTTTATTAGTCCCTCGATTTCGTGCCGCCAGTGGTCGCCCGCCTCCCGGAGTCGCCCCTCCAGTGCCTGTCGGCTGGCATTCAAGTGCTGTAGGAAACCGTTCAAAGGATTGCCGGCTCCTCCAGTGGTGCCAACGCCGGGGCCAATAGGCAGAAAGACTGTGAAATAGAAAGTAGATAAATATTTAATTGTATGTTGGTTATATATGTATGGGTTAAGTTTTGTTAAAGTTAGATTATTATATTACATGGTATGTGATGGGCGGCGATCATGCCCAAAACACTAATTAAGGTTGCGATTCTCAGCATAGTTGTTTTTTGTTGCTTTACTGTATCTGATTATCCAGATATCAATTGTTGAGTGAATTGCTATCCGAGTCTTACATCTATTTATATGTTATTTTTTTTGCTATAATCTGTATTTCAATATAAAATTATTTTTAAAAGTGCGTGAAAAGTTAATTAATTGTTCGCATGCACTTGGACATTTGCCTGCAACTAGATCCAGAGTGAATGTCAATGTTATAACTAATTATAAAATGAAAAGGATGTTGTTTTTTGCTATTTTAAAATATGCTACAGCTTTGATATTGCCTTTATTTGTGTAATTGTTGATGATATTTTTAATGATAGAATTGTATTAATAGTAATTAATCAAAGTTTAATTTATATTATTACAAGCTTTACAAGGCTTATTGTAATGATTATATACCACCATCATAAAAGATTTTGTTTATTAGATGAATAAATATAAGCATTTGTATATTTATTATTAACTATATTAGCATTTCAAAAGACAAATATTTAATTATATTTAAATTAAATTAACATTTAGGATATTTAAAATGAATTAAATTAGTTAACAATATGCCCTAAAAATACCTTTACCAATACCTGCACTTTAATTTAACAAATAGTTTAAAAACATATTATTTACACGTTATAATCATGATTAATTTAGGAAATTGCGTTCCCAGAACCACATTAATCAATTTCAATTAAAACAATGATTTGTTCAAAAATAGGGCATTTATTTCAAAATAACGTAGTGGAAAATAATTAAGTACATTAATGTGCAATACAAAATTAATACTTTTGTTTTTTAAACATCATAAATTAATTAATTTCTAAATAATTTATATTTTGAAAGTTTTTATATTTTAAAATAAAGTGACAATACATATTTGGGGTTATATTAATTTTTTACTGACCATAGTAAAGATTATTTTAAAGAAAAATCGTATTGCCATTTTATATAAGTACGCCTACATTTATTATAATAATGCATTTTAAAGTTTATTAAATTACCATATTTTATCATAATTGTATTTGGTGGTTAACGTAATTATGAACTATTTAATTGCATTAACATAATTAATCTATTTGTGTATTTATGAACGATTGATATAAGATTAGTTTTAATAGAGATCTCTTTAGCAGATTTTTAGAAAATATTCAAAAATTGTTATATTTATTTAAAATCATTTTTTGTTAATTTGCTGTAATTTTTAGAGCACGCATAATTTAACAAAATTATATTAATTTGGTATTATACGTAAAATTACCATATATGTTATTTGATAACAATAACCATAAATGCAATAATATTAACCGGTATACTATCTATGGTATGATATTGATAAAATAAATTTGCTCAACATTATGATGACAAATAAATATATTTCTAAATAGCTATCAAAAATATTTATAGCTTTATGTTTTTGGTCTACTTTAAACAATCAAATTATCATGATTCATTGATAGAGTTTTTAAATAAAATAATTATAGATTATATAACTCATTATATAAAGCTTGAATGTAAAATTTTTATTCAATTTAGTATTCGTTAATAAAGTTTGATATTTAAAGATTATTGTTATAAAAATAGTTGTTTTTACAATTAGCAACAATTATTTGTCAAAATCATTAAAGTTTTACAATGAATTTAATTTGTGCCACGGTGATATTTTTAATTTTACAATTTATGTTAATAACAGCAAACACTTCCACCAGCAAACCACCGGTAAACTACCATATTACATATATAATTTACACTATTTGAATACAAATAAATAAACATAAATAAAATTAGTAATTAAAATATCATTATAAATAAATTTAAATTAAATAACATCTTTGTTTTTAATTAATCTATTAAGATATAATCTGTACTACAAATAGATCCTGGTCTCCAACGTTCAAAAATCAGCTGTTAGAGTACAGGTGTATTACACACCTCATAGTCAAAAAGCGATCAACTTTTTAAAGGCCAACAAAGATGGGTTTGAATCGGGAATTTATAACATGATCGAGATCGCTGCCACTAACGTAACCACTGTTAAGTTTACGCTCGAAGTAGATTTTATACCATGGGTAAAAACACATGATGTAATTATGTACGAGTGTCCAAAAAACGAGTCTAAATGTAAGGCCACTAGACTTCATGTAAGTGTGAATTATAAATAATTAGAGAGAGAGAGAGAGAGAGAGAGAGAGAGTAGAATTTTTAACTTAACCATAGTCAAAAATAATTTGCATAGCAGTTATCTATTTTAATTATCTGAATAACTCAAAATAGGCCTGTATATCACGTGGCCAATACAATAACATAGACAAGTACACCATGATTACATGCACCGCAGACCAAGACGATTGGTTAACTAAACCGTGGAATAGAGTAAACAGTTGTGCCAACTCTAGTGATCAGGCGGTAGGTGACAGACTCAAGAGCTGTGCCGGCCCAGGTGCCAATGGGAACAGCTGTATGGAGGAGACAATTGGCGCTTATAACGCAATTAATAGTTGGCATAAGTTAGATGATGGTACTAATGATAATAAGCAGCGTGATTTTTAATTACCATTTTTATTATAATTTAATATTATTTTGTACACATATTTTAGTATTATTTTGTACATTCTTTCTTACTCGTTAGCGCCGATGGTTGTGATCAATGGTGTGGTAAATACAGCAGCGGTGGACGACCTTAAAACTCAAGTGTGCTTGGCCATTCCGGTAAGTGAAATAACTTACTTATTAGTAAAATAGTAGCATTATTTTAGCCAGCACTATATGAAATGAAATGCCCTCAATAGAATGCATTGGTTGGATAACAAAAAATATTTTAATTTCATCATTGTACAATTTGGTGCAAAACTATTAATTTTCATATGGTTTAACTTAAATAATTTTTAAAAATATTATTATTGGGTCTAGATCACTTATTTATATATTGATTTAAAGCTTAACAAAGCACCTTTAAAAATATATATGTCATGATTTGATAAAAACTTAATTAATAACTAGTATTGTCAAATTTAATCACTTTTAGAATTTAAACAATTAAAAAACCAATCAAGGTCTAAATTGGTCAATATTTTACCAATAATGTCTTCTATGCCTTGAAAAACATCATTGAACTAAACATTGTGTATCACTAAACAATTATCCATCAAATAAATTAAAGTTAGACAACAAAAATCGGGTTTAATTAAGAAAAACGATGAAAAGTAATTAAAAAACTTAATCTTAAGCTTAATATGCTATGACGCTTTAACATGTAAAGCTCTGACCTTGTGTTTTTAAATGACCACACGCCTTGTTTGAAATAATCTAGCGCCGGATTAACGCCATATTAAAATTAAATTATTTGTTAAATGAAAAATATAGATATAATGTCATAAGTATTCAAAATTTTAACTCTAAATATTATCTAGATTAAAAGTAATCATAGTTTTACAGAAATCAATAGTATTGCACCGCGTTGTAGAAGACCAATAGGCCGATCGATTGTGCCAATGTGACTGACCCCGTACCCGTAAAATTACCTGTGATCATTGTACAGGTCTACTATTCACCATTGTCTCAGAGATTCATTGATTTTATGGCGCTCAACAGCGAGGGTAACGTACGTGGTATTTATGACATGATAAAATCACAGGTGACCGAAAATGTTATGGCTGAAACTAACTATTTTTGGTATGGGTGGAACTTATTAAACAATTTTATATTTGGTAATAACCAGGATGAAAATAGGATTATGATTGAGTTTATACCATGGGGCAGGGCAAACAAGACCAGGGTCAATAATAAAACTCAGTACTTGTGTCCACAAGGCGATAATGACTGCATGACTATCAGACTTCATGTGAGTATATTTAAGAGAGCTGAGAGGGTGTGAGTATACTTTAACCACAATTTATTTATAAATAATGTGGTTTATAGAATTAAAATGTTTTTTAAATTAATGAATAATGCTAAATTAGTTAATTCCTTGAGCATCACCCGAGTTGTGGTTAAAAATATACCATCGCTGAGTAATCCTTGTTTTAAACACTAACTCTAATAACATAAAAATATATAGATTTAATACCATATAAAATTAACACAACACAATAAAATTAACATTTTGTTTTGTATTAACCAAACAGGCATGTATAGCAAAAAATCACCAAGACCATTTGAAACAGCACGAACAATTCCTTATTATTCAATGCATTAGTCAAAACACTACGATGACTGATCCCTTGGCCAAAGTGGCCTATTGTGTCAGCAAAACTACTTCTATCGACATCGATAATAAAACTTATATCACTTGTGCCGGCAATGATAGCGCAGATGGCAACGCCTATATGAACAAGATGTTTGGTGCAACCAGTCAATTATACCCACTAATTACCGAGGGTAATTTTTGTTAATTATTAAATGGTAACAATCTAATTAATAATTTTTGATTATTTTGTTTAAATTGCAACTTTGATTAGCTACGGAACCAATTGTGCTAATCAATGGCAAGCGTAATGTTAAGGCTGTAACTGATCTCCGGACTGAAGTCTGTAATACTTTCCCGGTATGGCTATTAAATAATATTTATTTAACAATCATGCTGATTATGTATAAATAATTAACCATGTTTGTTTATGTTAAAGATGGAAAATATGCTAGATTCATGTAAATTAGCGCAAGAGGCTAAGGGTTGCTCAACTGTAGCGCCCGGACACAAATTTAATGCCAAACCTAGTGCCGGTGCGACCGTCTATGTTAGCATGTTTACGATAATTTCCATCATCACCGTGACCATTTTTAAAGCATTGCAATTGTGTTAAATGTTATAGTGTTATGTTTTATTTAAATATAGGTTTAATGATATATGAACTTTAATATTTTCATATTATAAAGATGCTTCATTTATAACACATATTTAATTATATACAATTAGAATAAAATTTTATTATGTTTTTTTATTATAAAATCATTTTATCTAGTCATAAAAATGTCCATTAAATATTATTATTACCAAGTATTTAGAACGACATTTTAAAGTATTTCTTGACAAAATTATAATTTGTCGTTTTTATTAAAAAATTTATTTAAAGAATTTTTGGTTAAAATAATTATTAAATTACATTAGGTGTTACAGTAACTTGTAACAACGAATATCATTTGCTAGTTATAACTAGTTTAAAATTTTTATAAAAATTTCATCTTGAAACAAACCTATATTACTTATATGTATTGTATTTTAATTATAAGAATGATTAATAAAATATGAAAGGTAAATTAGAAAATAAATAAATACATTATGTATTTTAATTTAATCATTATACTATAAATAAATAAATAATTCTACAGTAGTTTAACAAACACTAAAAAGCTTAAAAGTATTAAAGGTTAATTTATAGTATCCGCTTACCTAATAGAATTATAATTAGACATATTTTTAGTACTTTATTTAATTATTATTAAATATAAATTAATGTGGGCTTATAATTTAAAAATGATGACATGGTTATTTATAAAACCAATTTTTAACAAAACTTTAAATTTAATAACACACATTGAAATTTACTTACAATATATTTTTATTGTTATATTTTCTATGCCAGTTTATGAAAATATAAGCTTGCCAATTTTTTTAAAGCCTAAATTAAAGGCTTATAAAATTTTTAAGACATATTTAATTTTTTGAGTCAAAAATACAGCCATGCGAGTTTTACTATATTTCGCTAACAGTCATAAGAGTGCTAAATTAAAACAATTTATTAATAACAAAGGGTACATTATTACAATCTTTATAGGTAATTTAAATTAAATGTTCATATGTTAAAATGATATTATTAAAAAAAATTATTATATCCTATAACATTAACATTAGTACAGACTGCCATAGATTTATGGACATTCTGTATGTTATTAATACATCTTAATAAACCATTAAACAAAATATGAGTCAGACTCTAATCTCTATATAATACCAGTGTATATTTTATTTGATATTTTTTATTATCATTATCCAATATTGACATTACACTCTTAAGTCAAAAGTACTAATAATTAACCAAAAAACAGGATATGCATTGCGAATAATTAATCATAGATGGGTAATTAAACGTTGCA